GAATTGTTTTATAAAACATGTTTTATATTGAAAAAATAAAAAATTAAATTACTTCTTAATCTATGTGTAAAAAATTTAAACAATAAAAAGAACATGAAACAATGGAGCATCATAATTCATAAGATAAAAAGGATACTCGCATTAATAACCATAAGAAAATTATAATTAACAATTTCACTAAAAGTATCCCATGGAGCAAATCATAGCCGTTCATTTCAGAGTTTTTGGTTACATTATCAATTATTTCCTATGTTTTCTATTATAGGATGTTTTGCCTAAAAACACAAAACATTAAAAAAAGATGTTTTTTATCAAAAAATAAAATTTAATATATTAATTAAAATAATTCAGCTAACTATAAAAAAGACTGCTAAAGATTATTGGTCACACAGTTATCAATAAAGCTAAAAAATACCTAAAAATATAAGAACATCTTATACTGTGAAACAAAAAATTTTTCCAAAACATCTTATAATAAAAAACCGTGCGAGTATAATAGTATTTTGTTTTTGTTATTATTTACATATATTAACCCAAGATAAAACGATGCTCGTGTATCTCACGCGTCCAATTAAAGAGTGAAAGAAATTCTAGAACTGGCGACAATTATTGAGGGCATAGGATGGTTTTTCGTGGTGAGAGATATCATGGTTGATGGGACCCATGCTTTTACAGAAGATCCGACAATATGTCGGAGTTGTGTCTGAGTGTGATCTGCTGTCCCACGTGTCCACTCTACTGAGTTACACGCACTAACCAAGTGCGTTACCCCCACGCGCGCATGTCTTCGGTTAATCATTTCTTCTCCACGAAAAAGGAATCTACAAATCATGATTATATACTAATATAACTATGAACTATAGTCCGAAAAATAAAATTTAATATACCTAATAATTTAGCTTTTTTTTTTCTTTTGGGGGTCTGATAACATTTTTTTAATGAATCTTAGGATACAGGTGCAGTCTTACATCACAGATCCAAAGTTGAGTCACGAAACAAAATCATAGAGAGAGGAATATTTAAGTTTTAATTATATAAAAACCGTATCCTATATTGTAATCATTCTATATGTTTCGCATTGCGTAGGACTAATAATTGTGGTTTTGCTTAATCATATGTTTCATGCATGTGTATGTTAGCTTTGATTGCTCTTTACAGCATTGGCCTGTAGAAACGTAGTCATAATTGGCAATTTTAAATATTTTTTTAAACCTAACTTACCAATTATTTTCTTTCTACACAAATAATTATTTGTCCAATTGTCCTCTCACATGTACTCGATCTACATGATAACTGGTATATTTGATCTTCTATTTTATATTTAAGAGAAATGAATTGACAGGCCTAATTATGATCATCAGACAAGGAAACTCTGGAATTTGAGGTTCTGAGTTTGTGTAGAAACTTTCTCAAAAATGATTTTCATATGATCATCAAAAATGATCTTCATATTAACATTCTAAAAAAAAAAAACTCGGAATTTGAGGTTCTGCATCACATGATTGTTGGTTTCTTATCTTTTTTTTAGTTAGCTTAAGCTTTGATTAACACATACATACATATCAACAAACTAATTACGTATGTG